ATATAGATATAATAAAATAATATAAAAATAATACATTATTATTATAAATAATAATAATATAATATATATATGTAAAAAAAAACACCAGGGAGAAATGGGATTCCCTAGAGAGAGTTTCATTCCCTCTTGAGATAAATGGGGTGCATTACACTGAAAATGCTGGCCTGTTTGAATTGATTATATGGGTAGCTTAGATTAGCAGGTAGGATTCAGATGCCCAGTTTTAGTATCTATAATTGAGCACACAGAATCCCCAGATATGCATTTATATTCACTGAAATCCACATAAATTAATTATCAAAGTCTGAGCTTATCCGTTTAGCTGAGAAGAAGCCAGTCATCATAGAGGGGTATCAATTAAAATATATTGATTTTAGAAATAAGTGTATTACAGAGTTAAATTAATGTGTTAAGGAGAAAAATTACCTGTAGTGGAATGGGGTGTAGATACCAAGATGAAGATAACTGCTGTCAAATGGAGCAAGAGCCCCATACCTATGGGGTGGAGAAAAAACTATTTGAATGCCTTGTAAATTATGAGTGGGTCTTCACATTCATGGACAATATAAACACGTAGAAAAACCTCTTAAAGTACAATTTTGTGCATACATGGAGGCTCATCTCAGATGAAAAAGAAAAGCAGCCTCAAATGCTGCTTCCTTCCTTCCTATAGCTGCTCTTGAAACTCAAAATTGCAGGTGAAGATATTATCTTTCTAGCCACTCATATTCTGAAAACAGCATCTTGCCTTATTTTTGAAAACCCATTTTGAAGCATGGGGTTCAATAATTATCCCTTCAAAAGGGGGGTATATTGAAAAAATAATTGCTAAAATAAAAATGTATTGGCGCTTTCTAAATTAAGTGCTTCATTTTGGAACACTTTTTCTCAGATTTTTAAATTGAAATATAGTTATGTTTGTTATATTTATACATAGCTTATATGCAAATAAAGAAACAGAGAGTGTTTGGGTTACAAAAATCTTTGAAATTTATTTTTTTAAATCCTGGATATTTTTACACATCCAACTATATGCTTATATATTTAGTCAAACAGAAATATTTCACTTCAACAGCAGAAATAGTAGCAAAAATCTTTTTTTTTAAGATAAAAAATGAACCTTTGGTGAAATTTTGATGAAAATAAAGTACATTCCTTAGACTTTGGCCTAGCAAAAGACACTGTTCACCGAAATTGCAGATTGCTTCTCCCCACCACAGGCAATATTTTTTGCATTGCAAAATGGGAAGTTTCCCTTTGTTATGGCTCATACAACAGCCACAATATAGTCCATTTCTAAATGCACTAAGAATTTAAGGTTTTTGAAGCACATTTTTGGTTGGCTTGATTAATTTCCTCTTTCTTTGAGCCTTTACACACTGTTTTGAAACCTTTCTCTGCTGCCACATAGCTCACAAGAACTTGGTCACTCTTGCTGCAGAACTGCAAACACTGAGATGTTTGGGATTCAAGGAAATAGAAAGGAAGAAATGCATGAAATATTGCAAAAAAATAGAGCAAAGCCATGAAAACAAAGAGCAATTCTTAAATTTACTGCTAGTGAACACCCTGAGCAGGAAGAAAGTCATTGCACACTGAGGACAGTGCTGCACTCCTGTGTGAAAAGATGGAAGGGCCAAAGAAATGAAAGTAAAACCTTATAAATGAGTCAACAAACTGAAACACAGGAGATTCCACCCGAATTTGGGGAAGAACTTTTTGATTAGGAGGGTAACAGGGCATGAGACAGGATGCAATCCTGTGCAATGCGTCCTTGCTTGCTCCAAATCCACTTGTAAAGGGATTTGGAAAGGCCATTTCCAAAGGTCCCTCCCAAACTTTAGCATTCCGTGATTCCGGACAGATCCTCACATGCCAAGAGATATCTCGGTGTATTTGGAGTTTTATCTCTCTCCCAAGAAGCTGCTCATCATACGAAAACACAAGCAAAACTGAGAGTACAGTAATTCCCAGAGATAAAATTACAGGGGTAATCTAAAAACCTGGAGATTTTTCAGAAAAACACGCAAAATATCTGCCAATCAACCCCAAAACACAACACAAAGACTCTGTGACAGAAAGGAAAGGGAACGGAAGAGTAAGAAAGTGCTTCGAACTCTTCTCTTCTGGCACCAAATTACTGTTTTAGCAAAGAAAAACACAAACCTGCAGGTCAGCAGCACCAACCTGGATTTATACAAATGCAGGTACAGGAAATCCACATGTAGGTGTTCACATCAACTGGCAACGCACATGAGACTGTTGGTACCTTTGAACCCTACCAACCACTACTTTGCTAGCAATAAAACTGGTGCTTTTAGCGCCTCAAGTTACCTATTAACAGGGGAAAGCAATAGTGCAATCATTAGATTTTTCAGTGAATGGGGAAGAAAAAGAAGGAAGGAATGTGGATTTAAGCTATTCATGGCCAAATACTTGTAAAATTAAGAGCAAACAGCCCTTGGAAAAATCAGAAGGTTGAGGGTGTCTATAGTACAAATACCCGCAAGAAGATAGTAGGGCTGCCCCATAAATTAGTTAATTTAAAATTAGAATAATTCATGGAAAGAGGAATGATGATTCGTGACTGTGCTCTACAAAAAGCCTGGTTTTATCACCCCAGAACTTCCCTGATGGTGTCTTAAGCTGTCCCCAAAGTTCTGGTGGAGCAATGAGTTTAGGAGCTCCGTGTGTTTGTGTTGCTTTCTACAGAGTTGGACTTTCGGGAGGGAAAAACAAGATGAAGGAGCAAAAGAAAAGAAGGTATTTTGGGTTTTGCTGGGTGACGATGGAGGAGACAGCACATTTTCCCTGCAAAGGCAGCATTATCTCTCCAGAGGGAGCTGCAAACTCACCTGATTTTGGTGGGGAGTCGAATTCCAAGCACACTCGGACTAGGAATGCTTTTTCCTCCTGTAGTTTTAGAAGCTGGAACACCCTCCCTTTGCTCCTCACAATCAATGGAAGCTTTTGGCATATCCCCTACAGAAAGAACATGCTAAAAAGGATGTTTTCCCTAGAAAGATATAATTCCCTTTCTCTATCTGTGTGTAGAAATTAAGAATTCCCTTTCATTCCTCAGTTGATACAACTACACACCTCTTTAATGGGAGGTAAATATTATTCTCTATATTTACAGCATATATAAATTTAGAACATGTATAAATTTAGAACATATATAAATTATATAAATTTAGAGCACATATATATATTTAGAGCATATATCTCTATATAAAGCATATATTTTAGTGTCTACTCTTCTGTCACCAAGGGTGTATTTAGGATTTTATTATCCGTACACACACAATAATACCAAAATCATGACAGCAATTTGTGTTAATTTTATATGCATTGAAGACAGGGGAAGTTGGAGAAGGGAGTTGCATCTGGACACTTGTCAACAGTGATGATGCATGAAGAAAAGGCACCTGGGTGGAACTTGGGAGCCCCATACATGTCCCATACATGTCCCATACATGTCCCATACATGTGATTCCACCAAGTACTTCCAGGCT